AAACTCATCCCAGATAGTCTCCACAATTTTAATCCCCATTGACTCGCCCAAATCTACCCATTCAGAGTCCAAGCCTGTCCGAATCTGAGCGATTTTGTCCTGCAGATATTGGACTAAGTGGTCTTCCCCAGTTCCTTGATTAAGTAGAGAATGGATCACCCCATTCCCCCAGGGTTCCCCCAGGGTAGCTGGGCAGTTATCTGCGGATGTGATAAGAGCGGAAAAATGTTCCAGTTTTGCAGCTTTTATTGCCACTAAGTAGGTCTTAATATGAGTTCTTACTAGTGTTTGGTCAGATTCGGACTGGCTGGCCCTCCAACCACTCTCTAGGCATCTTCTCCGGCGCTTCGTTTCCCGGAGCTCCTCCGTAAACCAAGGAGCTACCCGGGATCGGCACCGAGTCACCTTAGATGTTGAGTTATGTAGACATTTTATAAAAATTCTGAGGCCTTCAAAAGATGACTTGAATTTTCTTCACAAAACAATCTAGAAACAAGGGCATAACTGAGCAAAGCAGAGGAAGCTGCCATAGATTTTTTATTGTGACCTACAGCCATGTTTCTGAGCATTTTGGAATTTGCTTGAGGTCAAGAACCCATATTGTCAGTAACTCACTTTTCTTTCCTGCCCAAGGACAACCAACAGGCAAATACCCTACGGTGAAGTTTCCAAAGGTGGATTCTGGCTCTTCCAGGCTGCCAATACCGGCCTCCCAAGCTCGACCATCTGCCCCAAAGAGCTTGCACACCCTCGCTGTGCCACCTACGCCAAAGGCTCCCAAAAGGTATGAAGCCTGTGTCTACACAGAGTTTGGTATTCTGTGAGAACCTGGACCTCGGCCTGAATTACACTTCTGTAACTACCTACCTCTACCATCCCACCAGATCCTTACTAGATTATAGATGTCCTCCTGTCAGGAGTTTCTGGAACTAATTCAGCAAATTCTAGGACCATTTCTTTAGAACTAGGCAAAACTACCTGGATCCTTGCCATAGTAAAGCTAGATAACGTCAGGCTTCCAATTGGGATTTAGCAAACAGGAGTCTCCAAATAATTAACCCTTAATTCTGTTGTAGATGAGACTAGTAGAAAAGTTTCAGACATGACTACACACCAGAATGCAGTCTTATACTCAACCTGATTGCCCACTGCATTGCAAAGGCACCAGAGACACATCTAGAGGTTTAGACTCTTTGCTTCTTCCAACTTATGGTCATGGCCAGCTAATACCTCTTTTCTGAACATATTTCATTTCACTTCCTCTCTCCCTAGCCTACAGGCCTCCAAGCCTTCTGACCTTGGCAGGCAGGCTCAGCCTTTACAGATAGAAATCTCCTCTGTCTCATAGAATAAGTTGCTTGTCCTCAGTCATCACAGAGTGATTCTCCTTGTACCCAGACCGGTTTCATTACCCTGCTTCTTTTTCCTGCCTTTCCCTTGGTATAAGCAGTCCTTTTGCCTTGTGCTTCTTAGCCATGGAGCTGCCACACAACCATTCTGTCTGTCCTGGCAAAGATAATAATTGTACTTTGATGCCTTTTGCAAAATTACTCTTAGTTCCCCTTCCTATTCACAGCCCTGGATTTGTCCACTAGTCTCTAGTGACTGAAGGCAAATATACATGTCCCTGAATAATCTGAGTTGGTCAGCAGGACCAGAGCTTTTGGATGCCTGCTGGAGCCCATCCACAGGGAACCTCTTGATATCCAGGATGTGTGCACTGGGCTGTTCTATTTGTGGCATTTAGGTGGTGCCTGGTTGTGTGTGGCTTTTAGTTGTTGATTGGGATATTGATGGACGCTTATCAAATTGTTGATTGTGGTTTCCTTGTACTGTGCATCAGAGGTGGCATTCAGCAGGTTCTGACCAGTTCTGGAGAATCAGTAGCGGAAATTTTGAGTAGTTTGGAGAACCGGCAAATACCGCCTCTGACTGTCCCCGCCCCCATCTATTCTCTGCCTCTCGAGTCCCATCTCATCGGGAGGAAACGGGGACTTTGCAGTAACCTTCCCCTGCCACTCCTACCAAGCCACACCCACCAAGCCATGCCACACCTACAGAACTGGTAGTAAAACATTTTGAATCCCACCACTGCTGTGCACCCTCGGTTCCTAAATCCTTGGTAAGCTGGTGGTAAATCAGCCCTCCTGTGGACTATCAACGAGCTGATTTATCCCTAACTGACCAAGGACTTAGCAGCCGAAGGCCCAGTAGCACAAAGAAACAACAATCGAAGACTTACTGTACTAGCCAGCCATCATCTTCTCCTAGAGAGAGAGAGAAGCTCCCTGAGGATGGGCTCAAGCAGGAGTCTGAATGCTTGCAAGAATCAACCTCTGGTCCGGCAACCGACTCAGATTTTGGGTCTTGCAACTAGTCTCTAAAGTCAGCTATGGTACATCCTTCAAAGTTTCCTTTCTTCTTTCTGCATGAGTTGCCTTGTTGATCTATTTTTTTCATTACTTCATCAAATGTCAATGCTAGTTGGTTAATGCAATGAATGGATAGGAAGAGCAGTCTGAAAGAGTAATGAAGAGTCTCTTTCTCCAGTTGGTCTATCAAAGGATCATTTATTGGGCAGTATCTTAATCTTATTCCTTTGAGTACTCAGAAACTGTATAGCAATTACTGTGCTGTGCTTTGTTTTTCCAAATTCTTTGCCCACCTTAGGAGGAAATCCTCTTCCCAAGAAGTAAATGTGGAGGAGCTGAGACTGTCCCCAGTCAATGCCTGGCCAGACCAGTCCAGTCCACAGGAAGAACCCAGCAGGTATCATCATCCCAAAGTATCCTCCTGAAGCACATCACGGACTTCTCCCAGGATCTGTGACCGCGTGAATGGCCCATCATTTACCCACCCAGGATTGGGCTGGTAGTTGGGTGAGACAGTTTGCCAGGACAGCATCCCACACTGCCCTTGTAAGGATGGCATAGCTAGGGATGCTGCAGTTGCCCAGTAGTGGCCTGACAGAGGATACAGAAAAACTGAAGTCTATTTAATTATGGAGAAAAATAATGTTTTGGAAACAAGAAAATCTACAAAGTCTAGAATACCATGGTACACTCTGGTAGGGCACAAACCATACTTTTGTACTCTACATGCCTATGGGAAAAATATGCAGAAATTTCAGAAAAATATCTCCTTGAAGGCCTCAAACCCTCCATTATAGACAGGGATGTTGCTATGCCATGATGGACACAGAAAACTAAAGGCTGCTGTAGAGAGTCAACCTCTTGGTACATTGCATGGAATCCCTCCTGGGTGCAAAATGGCCAACAATATATTGGCCTAGATCAGTGGTTCCCAAACTTGGCAACTTTAAGACCTCTGCTGGCTGGAGAATTCTGGGAGTTGAAGTCCACAAGTCTTAAAGTTGCCAAGTTTGGGAACCACTGGCCTAGATAGTTCCCAGGAGGGAGAGCCCAGATTGCAGACAATTGCATGGACTAGCCAGGGTAAATCTGCGTTTTCGTGGGGCCCCTAACTGGCCCCGTCTCTCAGGTGGAGGCAATCTGCACAAGGCATAACTACTATTCAGCCTTTCCTTCCTTACATAAAGTGTTGCAGAAAGCTCAACCTGAGTAAAACTGACAGGTGTCAGAGGTCAATATTTGGGGGTCCATCCAGGGATGACCAGAGGGTGGGAAGACTGGGTGTAGTCTGGCCCATTTTTATTTTTCTCACCTCTTGCCTTGGTAAGTGGCGCCTTCTCTCACTGGTCCTCAGTCAAAGGCATCTAGGGGGCAGCTTTGAGGGGGGAGCTGATGAATGAATGGTTGTGCCTCAAAAGAAGGCAGTGCACCAGGTAAAACAGAGAGAGAGAGATGGAGGGAGGGGGAGGGAGGGGGAGGGAG